TACCCGAGCTCATGCAATCACCGTCTCTACCACTGGGGCAAATTATGCAATTCAAAAAAAAAAAAAAAAAAAAAAAAAAAAGGTTACGAACTAGCTGGCGCTTAAGATTACTCGGTGGTATTTCAACTACGCTCACCGAATTCTCTAAGCCCGCCCTTCTTAAGCAGCATTTTATAGCTCTACTTATATCATTTGAGATGAAGGGTAGGATAAACGGGACCCTTCTATCGCTAGAGTTGTCGTTTGGAGGCCTACGATTTCCTCTACACCTATCCTGAGCTACAGCTTCGTAGCCATTAGAAATGGCTATTTGCCGTGCCAAGTTCCGGGACTCCTCTCTCTGCTCTCTACCTGTGCACACGCTGGCGGCGGTTCGAAACATGTTTCTTATAAGCGCCCTTTTCGTGTGAGAGGGGTGAGAGGAGAGGTAATGAACCAAGATATTTTTACTACTTGGCTTTCGGTACCACTTTGTAATGTAGCCATTTTCTGATAGGTGAATTTTTTGCTCAACAAAAATACGACGAAAATCACTTGATCAATGCCGAGGTTAATAGAAAGTCGGTCGTGGCAGTTTCTAATTTTTATTTTTATCTATTCTTTCTCCATGGCAGGGTACTATGTGAAATGCAGTAGCACTGAGATGTAAGCAAAACTCGGAACATTAATTGAGCATCGAACCGGCGATTACCCTTGCCAGGGACTCACGTGCTATCCACCAGACCAACCGAGACCCTTCCTTTGCCTTTCTCTCAGCCATGTCCATGTATCTATTCTACCCGTGCTTGTTTTAAACTGAAACAATGGAATTTCGACTGCAGCCTCCACTTAACTGAGTTTAGTGCTGATTTGTGCTTCCGAGATCATTCCTGTTCACGGGTAATTGCTTATAGCACTAACAGAATAAAAACATGGCCAAGAAAGAAGCAAGGCAAAGCTCTCAGTTCGTGTACTGAATAGTATGTGAGCTCCAGGTGAGGGTGATAACGGGTTCGGATCCCACCTTAGGTTCAGTGTTTTGTTCATATCACAGCATTCTTATAGCTGCAGTTTACATTATAGTACTATATTATAGTACCAACAATAACAGAAGCAACACATGTAAAAATTACAATGCTGTTCTAAAAGGTATTAATTCACCAAAGATTGATTATTAGGCACTCATCAGCGCAGAATGATGAAGAAGGATAAGACGGAGAAGTATTTTGAAAACCGACTTTCATTTAACCCCGGCAAGACTAGTGACCATTTCTTGTCAATTTATAAGCTTGAGGAAAGCTACCACTGAATAGTTATTTTGAGTCACGTTTCAGCGGCATGACTTTCATCAGAGATGTGATGATTCGCGTCTAGTTTCCTCATAGAATTCGTACTTTCTCGCGATAAGGCTAATCCTAGCGACGAGTCCAACCCGGTGCAGTGGACCAAACCATAAGCGTGTGCAACCTTACGAATGCAAAAAAATATTAGCGTAAAACCATTCTCTTTCATTCGAGGAGCTAAGAGCCACAGAACGTCTTAAGGTCAGCAACCACATGATGATTAGTGCAGAATTTTCTCAAATTCAAGTCAACACTAACCAAGGTGGAATAGCCACTCGATCCTAAGGCATAAGCATTGTATGGACTATTAACGAACCAACAATGCTTGATTTACAATTTGTATTTTATTCTACATAAAATAAAATCACATTTTGCGGATCCCAGTACTTCTTTTACCCAATTCCTTTCAATGCATCCCTCATTCACGAATCCACGAAGGTCTCCGGGTATGCTTGTGGGCCCCAAGGATGTCGGGTTTTTTTAAAAAGATGTCGTTGCATGCTGGTCGAGTCGATTTCTCCTTAGAGGTTTGGTAGAGCCATGCTAGATGTTCCCGCATCTTTACCACAAGATGTCGCCAAGTCACCAATATTTATGGATAAGAAAGGGCGGGTTCATTCCAAACAACTACGGTACCAGAGTTCCCATCTTCGGAAGAACGGCGAAGCTGGTTGGCCGTGCTGAATTGAACTATTTGTCCTTAACTAATTGTCCACTTAAAATGGTAAAAGTTGCTTCAAAGGTTTTTTTCGCTTAATAATGTAACAGGGAATTTCTTTTCACTCCCATGCCTTTTATATATGGAAGGATGAAGCCATTTGTTAGCCTCGCTTCCGTTTGATTGACTTTTCCCTCTAAATTAAATAAACTAGTCAGCCATTGGGAAATGCAAAAACCGCTAGACCTCACTACTATTTTAAAAAGCTATCTGAGTCCAAAGGGAAAAGTTTATTACCTTCATGCGTTGAGTCCTTAATGCTCATTTGCTTCAAAGTACGAACAAATACTGAGGATTACAAAAAAAACCGTGCTGTAGTTGTTTCAATTATAACATTTTACATAGCACCCGTTAGCGGTTTTTCAATAATTGCTCGATAAATTTGTAAAAGAAGCGTTCCTGCGAGGCAACAGTAGCAGAATGAAATTCCTGAAATGTTCCTTTAGTTTTAGCCCTGCTTAAAATCCGAACATTCAATAAACTGAAAACAGAGTTACATTTTTAAAATTCCCGACGCTAGCGCTGCCGGAGCAAAAAACAGCTATATGACAAATATTAAACTGCTCTGAAGAAAAATAAGGTTCACCACAACAGTTACATCTAGTGCCCCTGATTTTTTAGGATACTTTAAGCCATTATACAAACTCTACATTTTGTTGTCACCTTCGAAATATGGGCCATGACGAAAGGAAATGTGAAAATGAGCCTCATTGCCTGCAAAAAAATCACAGTTCTTTCTTGGTAGAAGAAGTTCAGTTGTACCTCGTAGGCATGGATCTGTAGATTCTAATGTTTTAAGTTGAATGTGTGCTGAGATAAAAAGGATAAAGCTCCCGGCGTTGATCAATCCCGGATCATGCATTTGACTTCATTTAGCGTCGTTTGGAGGTGATTGAATGCATAACTGGCTTTACAACGACTCACGGTGGCACACCGATGTATCGAGCCTGTGCTGCTATCCTTTCAGACAAGTCTAGTACCAATTTGCCGAGCCCAGAGGGATGGAAGGCTTAGTCAGCCATAGAAGCGGAGATCAGTCCTATGTGTGTGTTGCAGGGCGCCTCTGATCACTGCGCCACACGGGCCCTTATCTTAAACGCCGCGATATGCTGGCTAAATTGACGGCTCCCACTAGTTTCGCGTCAAAAGCATTATGCCTATTGCATCTCGGGCCTTATGCGTTAAAGTTCCTGCTAAAAATCGTCCGTTGTTTCTCGCTGAACTGCAAACTTTTCAGCTCCTGTAGAACTCATATCAACAAGTAAAGAGATGGAAATAAATCACACTGAGTTTATAATCCAATGCCGAGGTTAATAGAAAGTCGATTCTGGGAAATGAATCACACTTTCAGCATCGATAATTAGCATTTGTTTAACATTCAGTGGCGTCATCTCCCTTAAAACAGAAAGAAAACGCTAAAATTAAAACAAAGGAAAAAAGTACAGAAAAGAATAAAAAGAGAAAACGAACATGAGAATATAACTTCAGTGATGCTGAGATATTTGCAAAACTCCGGACCGCAGGTGTATGCGGTGGGGAACGAACACGCTATTATTCTTTCCGGGGAGTAACGAAGGACCCGCATGGTGTGGTGGACCCGCATGGTGTGGTGGTGAACGCGATACTCCCCTGAAAGGACAATAGCGCGTTCGTTCCCCACCACATACACCCGCGGTCCGGAGTTTTGCAAATATCCCAGCATCATTGAAGTTATATTTCGCAATATACCCTGCCATTAAAAGAAAAAAAGTGGAAAGTAAGTAATAAGTTGAAATTGTGATTAGAACATGAGAATAGTCCATATCATCTTTCGGAGGTTCGTTTCTTTTTCGTGAAACCCTTCGTGCTAATGGAAGAGCTCTGCGATGAGGTAGGAAACGGTGCACCATAGTAAAATCCAGACTCATTAGACAAATTGATAACATATTAGTGCAACATAAAACTAAACTGTGACATAAGGAATAGATGGCTCCTCTAGAACTCGTCTGGGGCTCGCAGATGCTGTAGGATACGTAGGAGCTCTTTGGGGATTCTGTGGTTCGCAGACCGTTCGTGTTCTTAGCAGAATTATTCTAGGAATCCCTAAGAAGCTGGATAATGTCATCTGTCTTTCAATCTGTCTTATCCGTCTTCTCAAAATTACATTTTTCTTGCGAAATTCTGAAGTCCGTAAATGAGCTTTTTACTTTGAACCCCCTCCATTTTTGCACAATAACGACAACAAGCTAGAAAAAATAAAGCTCTCGACGCTGATCAATCCCTAAGGTATGTAGAATGCTTCTTATTTCATTAGCCATCGTAGAAGTGATTGAATACTGGCAATATGGCATAAAATCACTTCCGAAAACTATCGATATGTAGCTCAATGTCTGTTATGATCCCGTAACAAATCATTTGCTTCCAATGGATGGAGGGCTTGGTAGTAGTCTTGTTCGAGGGATCTAAACAACGACCACATGTGTGTTTCAGAGCCAGAGATATTTCTTACACTTCATTTTCATTTACCATTGTGATTTTAACACTACATTTCAAAAAAAACCGGACGTGTAAATTCGAATTCAAATATTGTTCAATAAAGTCTAACAGCCCAATAAAAATAACGGTAACCATACCTGGATCGTAGAATTCGTCGTCGGTGGACAGCGAGAGAATCGCAGGGCTCGAGCCAGTCGACGCTGTGTGACGCAGCCGATCTGGCGAGCGACGAAATGCTTCAGCAGAAAACTCGTCCTGAATTGAGACACTTGGTATAGGTATGCCATGTTAGCCTTATCTATAACAGATAACACTCCAGTGGAGCATCTACCAACGATCAGCACAGAAGTGTGCTTACAAAGATGTTAGGAAGAATTTTTCTCCAATCAGCAGCTAATCACATTTGTCTACAGAAAATGGATAAGAAGTCTCAATAGTTAAGCGAAAAATGCATGAAGAGCGTCATGAGAGTTGGCAAAGTCATTCTTCGTGTACAAGGATGTCTCATAACTATTTTCTATGGAATTCAACAGATCCGCTCGATCCTCCACCACAGATGATTTGTCAGAAGGGTAATAAGGAAAGCTCCATTCTGCATTTATAATCGAAAATAACTGGTTCGCCAGGAATTTGCTCGCCATAATGTAAAGAATGTTGATGACGAGAAGTGTACAGAGATATCTCCGTTATTAAGAGTATCATCCGGAAGTATAGTAAATGCAAAAATATCTCTACAGCATCAATACGAGCACACAAATGCACGGGTGTCGGCCGTCCCACTGCGAAAACAGAAATTAAACGTTGTCATGAATAAGTTGATGCAAGTTCTCGTCTTGAATACTCCTTGTTAAGTGCATAATCATTAACAATAAATCAATTTACGGGAACGATGACGACAATCAGGCCTCACAGACCTTAATCGAGAGAGCTTAAGTCTCTACTAGAATGAGCCTGAGAGAAATCACTGAGAAAATCCCAGATGACGAGGTCTTCTGGCATGTGAACGAATGTAATCCTTACCGAACTGCTGCTTTCCGAAAGACGTTATAATGAATGTTACCGGCAAATCGCAAAATACGCCATCCTCTGTTATTTCACAACAATTCAGATGGCCTGTCATCATATGTCACAGTCCCTTCACTTCTTTTTTGATTTCTTGTCGTGCAACCGTCGCTCACCTAGGCAGTTGCTTTTACGTGTTGGTTCGGCTGAGACTTGAGAATCCGCATTCCTTATTCCTATTTGATGTGCTGAATGTTGGTGGAGTGTAGTTTTCGCTGAAAATTCCTTCTCCCGAAATAATTGCGGGAGAGCACTCGCAGAACTTTGCTCAGAAAACCGTCCCTCAAAATTTTTAGATCGGTGAGTTCTAACTAGTATTTGTCCACGTGGCAGACAGTCCTTTGGCGTCAACGACTTCCACGATAAGCTGAGCGACCTATCGAGAAGGAAGCAACAAACTGACTATTTCACTCTACAAGAGCAATTCGTAAATGCTTTTCTGACTTTGGTCCACTCCATTCCTCACCTTTAATTTCTCATTTTGTTTCTTTTTCGACCTCACCTTTATTTCACTCAAGTATGACTCACCACCAAAATCTCTAACATTATCAGGAAAGCTGTTAAGGGTACAAATTAATTCTGCTATTTCCACTAATAAAATATCGGATAAAGTAAGTGTATTTGAACATCAGCAAAATTTCATCATTAAAAATAGTGCCTTGAAAATCAATGGTTTGGATGCTCATTTTCTGTGTAAACTTCTGCTCACCAGGTCGGGGATTTGTGGATCTGCTCCTAAATCGATAAGCGTGTCGTAGATGGCGTTCGATTGAGCGGCAGCGTAGTGACACGCAGTCCGACCGACCTGAACATCAGCGGAAAATTCTCTCTTCAGAAACAGCACTCATGTTCCAGGTTTCGAGAAACCGATAAGATTAGCACAGCTGCGACAGTTACTTCCTACAAATGTCTCTTCACCATCTTATAAGTTTTACAAGTGTTCAATTCATTAAATACTTCACTCATGAAGAGACCATCGATGGTTATTGAAAACCCATACCATCATGAATTTGCTGGAGAAAACTCGGACAAAGTGGGAATTCAGAACACTTATCGCTCTGATGTTATCTCAGTTGTATGCAGTTTTTTCAGAAAAGAAATTTAGAGTAGAAAAATTTGGAGCGAAAAAATGATAACATGCTTCCATTACGAGACAGCTTCCTGCGGAGGACTGCTTGGTGAAACCACACCCACCGATGGGGCACCGCCCACAAGGAGCGATTTGGCTTCAAGTACGGAACTACTTCTCCGACAGTTTCGACAAACATAGGAGTTATTAATCACAGAATCTCGGACGGACTTAATATATACATGTCAGTTCATCCATAAGAAAATTCAAGCGCGCAATTTCAAATAAATTAGACATCTTCTTAACGCAAAATGTCCGATGCCCAAATTTTCGTGGCTGGCCCACGATGTCTAATGTCATGTCGGCTGCGCAAACGGCAAAACTTGGCCGTTCAGCAATAAACATTAAATTTCTTCTAACTGGAGTACTTGAGAGATTGAACGAGATTGAGAGATATCATTTCGGGTTATAAAATGTTTGCGTTATCGCTCTAGGAAATTTTGTTTTGTTGCTACTTCTATACCGCACTAGCCCACCACCAAACAACATGGGTATCAGCGGTTAGAGATGTTTATCATATGTTAAAGAGTTAAAGGCTCTCGGCGTTGATCAATCCTTGAGAGATGCGCTATGCATTCGACTTCAATAAGCATCGTTAGGGGTGACTGAATGCATATCTGACCTTATGCACATCTGACCTTTACAATGACTCGACAGTGACCTACTGATATATCGAGCAAGTGCTGCTATCCTCCCATAAACGTCTGGTACCAAATTGTCATGAAGGGCTTGGCGGGTATGAGGCACGAGGATCGATCCCAATTGGATGTTGCAGGGTGACTCTTACCACTGCGCCACACGTGCCTCCAGTGTTACTTGATACTTGATACTTGAACGACCAGTCCTCACCAGTTGTGCGGGCCCCAGAATAGTCACCATTTCTCGGAGATTTGCTGGTTAAGTCATTGTGGTTCCCTGGAATCCCGAGGACAGCCTAGCCAAAGTTTGCCCCAAGTCATCACCATCACAGGCAGCCGCCACACTTGTAGATCAGGAGAAGATTTGCCACCATGCGACTTTGATCCCAGAACTGTGATGGGTCCTGTATTGGTTTACTCTTAGCTAGGCTTCCTGATAGAATCGTCGGACTCCTTCTCAGCTTGGGAGACTATGCTGGGGGGACGAATGCTCTCGCTGTACATTGCAGTCCGACATCTAGGAGCACCTCCCAGCCATAATAAGGCGGTAAACAGTTGGGAGGTTCCCAGTGTTACTATCCAAAACATATAAGTAGCTTACCGTTCTGAATCATACCCACTATTGAACAATAGGATTCTACATCCTGGAACTACATGATTAGGTGAAAGATTGGACATCAATCGACTCCTTATTGAAAGCATGAATGGAGAGACTCAGGATAAGAGCAACAACAGAAAAAACTACATGGAATCTTTTGTGCCTCCGTTCGAAAGCCCGATGGAAGTGAAATGAGAATGAATACAGTGACGATGATGATGATTATTGATTATGAAGTTAACGGTGAGTGCCTTAACAAAATAATGCTTCAGAATTACTGGATCGTCTGCAGTTGTTAACCTGGAAAGCTCTTTCTTTAGTTTTTGAAGCTTATTGTGAATGGGATAGGCAGTTGCGGACTGCAGACGAATGTTTGTGAAAACTGTCATGTATTGAAGAAATTAGAGAATTCATCCGTTTCTGTCTTAAGACGAGATCATGAAAATGAAAGAATTAAAGAATTATTGAAGTTCGACATCACTCCGCTATCACCCTATTGCAGCCTATTTCATGACGAGGGATAGATTTGGAAGTCTATTGACACTTCCCGTCCTGCTGACGCCACAATGTTCAGTCAATAAGACATGTTATAAAAGGTTAAATCAGTCGTTAATAGAGCTTAAGAATACGGCACTACGGTAAATATGCACGCCTAGGAAGTACATATACATCGGAATCCTCGTGCACATTAGAGCTAAAGTCGCGTTCCGCCTGTGTTTCGAAAGAGGGATTGCGTTATAGCCTACTAATTAATGTACACCCCATTAACACCGAACCACGCTTAAGAATTCTCCACAATGATTACTTTGCAATTGCGAAAATTATTCTTAAGCCTTAAAGTTCAGTTGCTCGTGGTTAGTGATATTTCTGCGTCTCTTCACCCGCAACAGTTTCCGAGGTGCATGCCTCAGCAGCAATACTCTGTCATCGCAAATGAACTCGTTCAGAAGGAGTCACTGTAAATTATGAGGTGTAAAAAACAGATTTTCATGGGACACGTTTGACAAAATATCTGTGTTGGACAAGCTAAGTAAAGAGTACGAAAAGTGCGATGGAAAATCTCTTTGTGGTAAAGTAGACCGCTGAAAAGGATCTGTACATGAAAGAATGCCGTCCGTCCACTCCGCTCCTATCTACGCCTGCATAGCGCAACAATGCAGCTCGGACTTTCTGTGTTAGCACACAGTATCCAACCTAATTTTCGTAAAATTTTTTTCACAAAAATACGGAAAATATTGTTGATCCTATGACATGCCTACACAAGCACGCAGAGCGTCCACTCATCAATCTACTTTCATGCATCACATCTTTTGAAATATTGTGAACTCTCATCTCCATTGTCCCCAGATATGGATGAAAGTAGACATTCCGATTATACTCAGCATACAACCACAAGGATGATGAGATACGAGCAAAAGTCGGGAACCCAGCTAGGCTTCGAACCTGTGATTACTCTTAACGGGAGCTCGTGTGCTATCCAGCACACCGATCGACACCTTTGTTCTGCCTTTCTCTCAGCCAGTTCCTTACCCTAATAGTGCTATCAGCAATCACCCATCAGCGAAAGTGACTTGGCTACCACAAGCCGGCGCTAAATCCAATTAAGCTGAAGCGGAAGTCGGGATCATAATCGAAATTATAGTTGAAATTGAAACTGCGTGTGTTTCGCACAACATCATGCGATGAAAAAAGAGTTGGCGATAGATAAAAGTTACGACATCATACTCAAAATATTTTGCAGTAAGCTGAAACATCGTGGTATATGCTGGATGAGATTTCATGCCGGATGAGATTTTTCATCTCGCACAAGAGTTATAAATCTCCAAAAAACAAACAGAAAACATATATAAGAACATGAAGAATATAACGAACACAACTCTGCAAAAAAAAGATGAATGGAAAATTTAAAATGTAAGGTGATGCTGGTCCCTTTTTGGCCTTCAATGGCCGACATGAATCACTTATGGCATTGCGTGCGTAGCAGCCACAGGAAAACGTGCGTTGGGAGTTACTTGATGTTTGATAATTGAACGGCCCGTCCTCACTAGTTTTGCGGACCCCAGCATAACCTCCATTATTCGGAGATTTCCTAGTTAAGCCATTGTGGTCCCCTGAAATCCCAAGGTCAGCCAAACCAAAGTCTCCCAAAGGTCGTCACCACCACGCGCATCCGCCGCCGTTGTGGATCAGAGGGAGATTTGCCACCATGCAACTAGTTTGATTCTAGGACGATGGCGGGTTCTAGTATTGGTCTACTTTTAGCTGGACTTCCTGATGGAAACGCCGGACTCCTTCTCAGCTTGGGAGAACCTGGTGGTGAGATGAATCCACCGCTCAACATCGCAACCCAATACCTAGGAACACCTTCCAGCCACGATAAGGCGGTAAACCGTTGGAAGGATATCACCTGTATCACCTGTAGTCCCGTTGATCGCCGAGTGATTCGAGCGAGCGCCAGTAAATCTTCCATTTTTCCTTGTCGCGTGTAAGAGTAGCCCAGCGGGTTCTGCTCGATCTAGGGACTCGTCGAGCATCATATCTTTCTTCAAAGTTCTTTGTGAAGAACTCTAACCATCCGGTCGGTGGTCTTCCTGCAGTACGTTTGACATGCCGAGAAAGCCAGTGACTAACGGCTCTTGTTCATCGGTTGTCATTCATACGCATTACGTGTCCGGCCCACCTTATCTTCGACTGTTTGGCGTACATAACAGCATCTTTGATTTATGATCGTTGACGCAGATCGGAGCTTCGGATCCCATCCCTTATTGTGTGGAACGGGATACTCCTAGCATCATCTTTTCGACGGCACGTTCGATAACGCTGAGTGACCTTTCATCCTGCTTACGCAGCGACCGGGTTTCTGACGCATACGTTAGGGCAGGAAGTACCGTTGAGTCGAAAGGTGGGTACGGAGTCTGGTGCTCTTTGCTCTCTTTACTACATCCTCGATGCTCTTGAAAGCTCCCCAAGCCGCTCGTTTTCTTCTGCTCAGCTCTGGAGCTAGGTCGTTCATCACATTGATTTCCCGACCTGGATGGGTATAACTGGACCATTCAGAGATATACGTTCCGTTGAGCGTGAATGGGGCATGCGAAATCAATCTGTTCTTCATGAACATTGTTGTTGTGAGATTTAGTCGAAGACCAATCTTTCCACAGGCTTTATTAAAGCCGTCATGCATACGTTCCGCCTGGCTAATGCTTGGTGTTATAAGGACGATGTCATCAGCAAAGCGAAGATGGTGTAACTACCGACCATCGATTTTCACTCTCATATTATCCCATTCAAATGTTCGCATGACTTTCTGGAGGGTGGCAGTAAATAATTTTGGTGAGATGGTATCGCCTTGCCTAGCTCCTCTTTTGACGTCGATGTTACTATGGTTGTAGAATGGTGATATTTTGGTTGTGAAATTTCTGTACAGCTCACGAAGGATCTTTGTGTTCTGAGTAGGGACTCCTTGACCTATCAAAGGCTTCCCAGACTGCTTCCATTTCAACTGAATCAAAGGCCTTGTGTAAACCGATAAAAGTGGGACACAGCGGTCTTTGTACTCCCGCGATACTTCAATGAGCTTTGTGATTGTGTGGATGTGGTCCACCGTACTAAATCCTCTTCGAAACCCTGCTTGCTCACATGGCAGTCCTTCGTCTAGTGCCCTGTCAATCCTGTTTAGGACGATTCGAGTGAAAAGTTTGTAGACGGCAGATAGTAAGCAGATTGGGCGATAGTTGCCGATATCGTGCAAGTCACTCTTCTTGAACAATAACGCGGTCTTGCTGGTCTTCCACTGAGGAGGGACCTTGCATTCAGACAGGTAACATGTGAAGAGCCGAGCCAGTGTGTTTACGAGGACTGGCGGAAGGTTCTTCGGGTGTTCTGGTCTTATCCTGTCCGGACCTGGTGCTGTCCGATTTTTCACCGACGAAATGGCATGACGGATTTCGGAAAGGAGAACCGGTGAAACAAAATATCCATCCTCTATTTCATGTGAGGGCAGGTGAACGTGGCTATCGAAGAGATCCGAGTAGTATTCGTGAATGATTTGCTCCATTGCCTTTCTGGATGCTCTAACTGTTCCGTCTGGGAGCCGGAGAGCAATCATTTTGGTCTTGCAATTGGCGAAGCTTCGGTGGGCTTTGCGAATGCTTTTCCCAGCCTTTGCAGCTTCGACCATTACAGCTGATCTTCTCTCTCTAAGATCTTCTTTCATCGCCTCTTGTTTTGCAAGTTCGAACATTAGTTCGCGGTTGCCTGCAGCTCGTGCGATTCCGCGCTGGCGTTTCAGTTCGAGTGTTTTTGGAGATAGACGTCACCTGGTGACTTTCGAACCCTCAGCTTTCGTAGCGCTAGCGTGAAGATGTTAAATGTGACGATTGCATTCTTCGTCGATGTTATCGACAACGACATCCTCCCAAAAGCCGACTAATGAATTGAATAAGTTCCAGTTTGTGGTGGTTCTGGGACTTCGGTTTTTGAATTTAGCCGCTTTTCACCTTTCCGCGAGAAATAGAATCTTGCACGAAGGAGACGATGATCTGATCCCGTGTAGAATTTTAGGATAACAGCGAAATCGGTTAGGCAAAACCTTCTATTTACTATGATGTGGTCTATTTATTTCCAATGATGAGCTTGAAGAATGTGTGGTCTTCTCTGTAGAACTTCTCCAAGTCCATATAGAACGCTTCGACTTCTTCTTCGTCATAGTTTAATGTCGGTGCGTAAACGACGAAGATTGTCAAAGCTGGAATTGATCCACATCTTTTTAATCGTAAACATTCGATTCGGGTTGTAAGTTGTTCGCATGAATCGATGTTCATGGACAAACTCGTGTTGACGAGAACGCCGACGCCGCCGACTTCTCTACTGTCGCATGTTCCGAGGAACAGTTCTTCTCCGGTGTCATTGACGGCGTTGAATGGGTGGCGTCGTCTCGTCTTGGCCAAACCGATGACATCGTGCCTTAACCTTCTTGCTTGCATGAGCAAGTCTTCTATCGAGGACTCGGATGCAAGTGTACGTGCATTGTAGGTACAGAACGTCACCACAATTCCTTGAAATCCAGGCAGCTTCCATTGGCCCTGAGATTTTAGCAGCCTCTCCGTACTTGTCCTACCCAACGCTGCGAAATTGGGGGCTCTTTCGGGGTCAGGGGAATGAGGCCCGTTCTTTTTACTGTTTAGCATTTTTTGATACCTGCGTATAGCTTGCTGGGCTCTGAACGTGGGGGCTGGGTAATACTCCCGGGTTGCTTGCCAGTCTCTTCTATAGTGGACATGGTGCTTATTTGTTGGAGGCGACTCCTAACTGCCTCCCATATACTTCCCAGTCATTGATTGCAGGCCTTTAGCCGAATTGACTCGTAGAATACAATCCGCATAAGCAAGAACGCACCCACACATGCATGCGTGAATACTGCTAACAAAAACAGAGAATATGTGCCAAACCAGCGCAGCAGAAACAGAGAGCTCATCCCCCGGATCGATCTGCGTCTCAGGGAAGCAAAGGTCGCTTTTGGTCCGCGATTAACCCCCTATCCGCCACCTGGGAACACGCCACGTAGCCTTGCGACTAACCGGCTCGAAATCCCTCATATGAGGGAGATCCGTGGTATCCGAGGAGGATACATATATATATAATATATATCTTACTCTCAGCCGTGTTTATATATGTAGGAGTTCGTAGCTGAAAGAATATATAAATATATATAAATATGTATTTTGTGGCAACTGGGTAAAATACCGATTTGTGCTCCTCAAATCAATCCTGTTACCGGGTGATTGCTGATAGCGCCTAAACGAAGGACCCGCATGGTGTAGTGGTAAACGCGTTTGCGTTGGAGCTACATGTCCACAGTTTGGAAATCAGTTAGAAAGCTGATAACTGCCAGTCTAGTCTTCAAATGAAAAACATTAAGAGATTCGTTCGCACCTGATCAGTCAGGTTGACAGCATTTGGGAATTCCTTGGCAATGAGTTCTACCATCTCGTGTCGTTCCTTCAACACAGCGAAATGCAGTAGCCGCATTCCTAGGGTAAAAAAATGCTTTCAAGTATTTTACATCCTTTACAGATTGTTTAGAAAATACGGTTTACCAGATTTGACCACGGCTTTGATTCCTCTACAAGCAAATGTTGAAGATTTTCTGATGATCTCTGATAAAACTTTCCTTTTTTTTATTCCGACAGTGGTAGAAACAGATACCATAACCACCTGTGCTACCTGGTCACCAATATCATTTCCAGTCAACACTGTAGCACCTCTCCCCCGGTCACTCCAAAATCAATGGACTTTACGCAGCAAGCCGATCATTTTAAAGTTTTTTATTGGGCAGAAATCCATGGGTATCCTGTCTGTGAGGGCTAACATATCACAATTAGGATACGTGCTGACAGTTTTCGACCACCCGAAACGTTCCTCACGTCCTTCTCAGTCACCTAATCTCAGTTCCTTGGCGGATCCGACGTACTGTATACTAATGGTCGCATCTAGCGGATCTCCTTTCCAGATCACGAGGAGACTTATTTCCTAAGGTGGATGTATCAAGGGCAATTTATTGATGCGCACATTCATGACCGTAGTTACCACTCTAGCACAGTCAGTTGCTGAGCAGTCCAACTATCTATGACCTAAGCAGTGATCCTCCTTCTCTCAATTTTCTATGACAATGGCACTAATGCAGCGCATATCTCTCAATCTGTACAGAAACCGCAAAGACACCACTGAATGCCTAAAAATTTACTCACCTGTAGTTACTGAATTATAATTGAGTTACCCTCAATAAGCAGGTTTTACTAATGTGGCAAATAAGTCAGATTCACAGTGCTCTACTCAACTAGTCAATTCTTTTAGAAAACTGCGCCAAATTTCCCAGCATCTTGTATTAATTCTCACGACCGACTTTCTATTAACATCGGCATTGATCAAACAGTTCTCGATATTCTTGCTCTAATATCCTACTAGGGACGCATAAGATGCAAAAGCATAGCGGAGACGATTTTGAAATAAAAGTCATTACCCTTGCACAGGATGCCAAAACACCAACGCGCAAACTTCTAGAGGCTTTTTAGTTAAATACCAGGAACCCTAGAATGAACAGCAGAGAGGAACAGCCGGAGATCACACGTGATCTGGCTCCGTACCTTCGCATCGACTTTTGATGTGGGGTGGTGCGTTTATAGACCATATACGACTCTGATCAGCTGTTCTTCCTCAGTAGGCTATTGATTAGTGATCACCGTGTAGATTTTCATCTTAATGTATGTGTTATCGGGGCATTTGACGTAGTGAATTGCCTATCAATATATCCTTCCAGGCTCTGAAGAAGGCGAAGTCCGCCGAAACGTCAGCTTTAAAGGAATAGAGAATAAAGTAACACCTCGTGTTTGCTCAACAAGAATGTCGAGGACTATCCTAGCATCCTTCACACTGTATCCAACCGAAGTTTCAAAGTTGGTGCTAAAATGACTGTTTACAGAGAGTGTCCAACACAGACATAATTCCTGGTTCGATCCAGCATCGGACAAGCTCCTGTCCTTCAAGGTCGGTGAATTGGCACCAAAATTGTCCAACAAAACTATATCCAACTTACAATTACCTACGAGCGCATGGGGTCATTTCAGGATAGCTATATTTCAGGATTTCAGGGTAATAAATTTGAGTAGCATCCAAAGACATTCACAAAGAAGACAAAAATTATCAAACCCAGCCAAACAGACACGGAAATCGATGACGAATAGGGAACAACGAGCGGTGTGAACAAAGCGTCGGGATACGTAAAAATGTGAAATTGGATACCAGTATATATTATTACCACATCCTAAATCACACGTTTTCACATTGGGCAGATGCTATCACTTCTAGCATTCAATTCGTTTCTTTGCAACGACCATCCACAAGAGCTGCGAACTCTTTTGCGTCTTACTTCGGCTACTGCTTGCGGATTTCCTCTTCTTTTACGAATGTGGTCGAATACTCGCCGGGCCGATTCAACTTGGAGTCCTGAAATCGGCTAGCGTGTTCCCACTTGAATTGTAGGTGGTGCAATGTTCTCAGACAAGACCGGTACCAATTTCCCGATCCAGAAGGGATTAGGAGACTTGGTGGGCCCACAGAGGAGTCGGATCAGGGCTAGAGTAGGTCTAACCTTAACGAACGGAATCGATACCACTGCGCTATCTGCATCATTCGTACCATATAAACAAAAAATATAGAATGTTAGAAAAATATTTGAGATACAACCACAAACTCTCAGAAAGGGTAATCGTGGGTTTGAAGCTCCCTGAGGTTCTGGGTTTTGCTCATATTTCAGCTTCATTGTAGTCATATTTCACATAATACCCTGCTGTAAGAAGATAATAGCAGTAAATACATGTGAAACATTGTCAGAGAAATTCTTCTTAATTCAGCGCTATTGGGAGTGTGCTCTCTTTTATTCGAAAGCATTAACACTTATGGTAATAATCAATATGTATTTAAACGACCACCGATTCGGATCAGCGGTTCTATTGAAGTCGAAGACGTAGGAACGTTAGGCGAAATAAGCCTCTTTATCAAACCCGTGTAAGTTAAATATTTTAGTACATGTTGGTCATTTACTACCATCAAATGACGGTTGGTTTGAAAATTATTTTACTTATGGTAATGTTTGTTCGGCTTTCCGCTCTTCAACGGGATCCATCCCATTCCTTGTCTTCTGTTTCTAATACTTCCTATGAATCAATATGAATTCACAATGTTTCACTTCTTATTTTCTGCCCACTACAATTTTCATGGCAGGGTACTAGGCGAAATACAACCACAATGTTGCTGAGATATCTGCAATCAATATGAATTCTACCCCGACTGCTATGGAAAATAGAGAACAGTTGTCCGAATTCACCTTTAGGATTTCTTGCTCTCACAACATCGTCATCGATTAACTGACGAAGGCGTTTCATGTTATTCTTCTCAATCGCATCCATAGCAGAAGCCAGACGACTCTGTGATAAACGAAACCTTCGGCAATTTTTTCCAGCTTAAGCTAAGAAATCTCTGAAAGATGTAATTTTCCATGAAAATCAGATCTTCCAAGAAATCCTAGAAATTCTACAAATCTCCTCTGCGTTCACGTTTTCCTTATCACATCGTTTCACGTGATCGAATGCTTATACAAAACCTTTATAAATCTTTAGCTATTATCGTTATCGTCTCAAAAATCCTGACTTGTTTATGCTGCAGGACCCAATATTCCATGCTTTTGCCACCACAAACGTTCTTGAGAGAAATCCCGTTCTCAATCACAAATTGCATCGTCTGCAGATAGTCAACAGCAACGAGCCACCAACGTGCTTACTTCGTCATTATAAGCAAGAACGAGGTTCTCTGCGTCTTTCACCGAGAAGAGACGAGATTGACGATAAGCGTAGAAACGGTTTCAATGAAATGGTGAAAATTAGTGAACTTCAAGCAGTCTTCGTAGTCAAATGACAATTTCTTGTGCCATTGCTGCACCAAATTCGTCACTGAACCGCATTTCACCGTACATCTTGGGAAGACTACAAGACACGCCAAGCTAAACTATGCAATAGTAGCAGAGTGTGTGGATCGTAAAGAAAAACAGGGTGTTAAAAAAGACTATGGTGACGGATTTCTGTCTTTTCTGAGATTTGAAACATGACAGCGAATTGTAGGAGAATTTGGGATCAAAATTTAAATTCGTTCTGTTTTCACACAGGTAATTAAGCTCTGAGTAAAGGAAAACTATTACTACTTAGATAAGATTTGATAGTCATGGAACAAAAACTCATTAAAACCTGGAGGTTCTTGAACTCAGAGACGTATCTGGCTAGCGCTTCGTTAGTTGGATTTTGTGCCACCGTATCCCAAATTTGTTGCGATTTACCTTCCATTTGCAATCGTTCCAGTGCCTGAACGAACTTCTCCTAGTAACGTCGTGCATAGATTCGTTGACATCATGAATCCTTCCCAGAGAGATGGATAACTATTTCATGATGGCGACGTGATGATTCTTATGATATAACTTAATTTGTCAATAAAAAGGATAAAGCATAAGCTCTCTCCGTTGATCAATACCTGAGGATGGGCTTCGCATTCGAATTCCTTAAGAACTGTTAGATGTGATTGAATGCATATCTGGCTTTTACAATGATTCACGGTGGCCTACCAATGTATCGAGCCAGTGCTGCTATCCTCTCAGATAAGTCCAGTACCAAATTGCCAACCCTGGAGGGATGGAAGGCTTGGTGAGCCTGGGGCTGGGAGATCGATCCCATGTGTGCTGCAGGGCGCTTCCCGCCACTGTTCTACACGCTCTCCTATTTTATTTCTTAGATGGAAAAATAGTCTACTGTACTAAAAGGAAAATAACTCAAAAGACCGACTTTCTATAAACCTCAGCATAAATAGTTGATATATTTATTTATACGATCTTATAAACTTTAGCTGATGCGAGGTTGGTATAGGTCTTCGTTGTCGTTGTTGTTGTTGTTGGTGTTGTTGATCGATGGCTGACGTTTTGGCGATTTCTCCTTGGATGGGTCCCACTCGTAACATCACGGCTCTGGGGAAGGCGAAAATGCCGGAACATCAGCCATCGGCCAACAACACCAACAACAACAACAACGACAACGAACATCTATACCAACCTCGCATCAGCTAAAGAAGATCAGTTTATAAGATTATATAAATAAATATAAAGGAAAAATGTTTCTGTAACAGTTCCCTTTGAAAACTTTCATTACTTTTAGCCTTTGCTGAAAAAATAGCCATGTTTATGTTTTTAGTTAAGAAAAAACAAAATTAAGGGAAGAATGATCGTCGAGCCTCAAAATTGAACCGAGCATTGTAGTCGAGCTTGAGGATTTCGTTGGCGACACTGTTATCAACTGCGTTTGACATTACCAGTGAAGAAGGCTTTTCCCTAAAACCGCGAATTAACGAGAGTATTGCCCTTAATAGAGCTCAAATACAAATTATCATAGCTTATTTGGACGTGTAGAGCTAAGCCATGCTTTTTAAAATCTACTTCTCCATTAACAAATTGAATTTTCAAATTTTTGCCTCTCAAATGTGCTCTTACGAGAAATTGCTTTCTGGAAATCATGAGGATAACGGATAAAGCTTTTGGTGTTTATCAAACCCTGAGCGAAGGACCATGCACTAGACTTCATCAACCATCGTTAAAAATAAATAAATCCATATTTTGCCTTTACAACAACTCGCGGTGGCCTACCGATGTATCAATTAAGTATTGCTACCCTCTCAGACAAGTCTGGTACCAATTTGCCGACCCCAGCGGGATAGAAAGCTCAGTGGACTTGGGCGTGAGGAACCATGGACCATATGTATTGTAGGCACCACTACTACCGTATTATCCTGCCTCTGTGTACAAGAATGCATTCAGAAATGGGTTCGAAAGACCTACATCAACGTCGGTTCCGAGTCTGACGAGAATAATGGTGATAAGGAACCAGACTGATGAAGAACGCAAGCTTGCGATATCTAGAACATGACGGTTTCATCGCTGTCAACTTTACCACATCAGTAACTCAATTTAGCAACTACACTAGCGACTGAGCGAAAATCCACACCACGTGAGAAACACCGTCATGATGAGCGTCAGAAGACTTCATAAGCAGAGCGCGGTCTTTATGAAGTGGATAACATCAGAGGCTATCAACTAAAACGATTGGAAGCATTTCAACTTCTTCGCTTAAACTTAGGTGGCCGTGGCTGTTGAAAGCCAATCAAGTACATGGGTGAAAATATGAACTTGAAACAATAAAAATCTAGGATTAAATCGTGCAAGTTCAGGGATAAAACTGAAAAACTGAAGGAAGATTTAAAATGCTCCGACGATATGTGGAGTACATTCTAAAATGTCAGCTATAGACCAATAGACATAAGAGCCGATCAAAAGATGAAAATCTAAGTGGTTTTCAAAAAGGCTTACAGATTTACAACATTCGAATAAGGCAATATTTTCATCTATGATTGCTATGAATTTTCATAGGCCACTCCGAGTATTGATCCAAGATTTGAAGCCCGGTGATGAAAAGCAAAGTAATTTTCAAAACCCAAAAACACAATGGGCAATATAACTCGTATATAATGCTGAACTCGATAGAACTAGCCTGAGAGAGAGGAAAAACGAAGGACCCGGATGGTGTGGTGGAGAAGTGCGCTGCTCCCCTGTAAGGACAACAGCGCGTATTCGTTCCCCACCGCATACACCTGCGGTCCGGAGTTTTGCAAATATCTCAGCATTATATACGAGTTATATTTCGCAACATACCCTGCCATTAAAAAGAAAAAGGCAGTAAATAAAAGGGTTAAGACAGTGGACAATTTTAAAACGATTCCATGGTAGCGAGATAATCTACATGCCGAGAAGAAATTAAGAAATTTTTAATGCTGACTATCATGGAGGAAGACAAACATGGAGTTGATCCCCGCGCCCATAGCACACCAGTCCTTCCATCCCTCCGACGTAGGGAAATTCGAACCAGACTTGTATGCGAGGATAGCAGCACTGGCTCGATACATCAGTAGGCCACCTCGAGTCATTATAAAGGCCAGATATGCATTCAATCGCCTCTAAACAAGCTTAATGAAGTCGAATGCATGGCACATCCCTAGGGGATTGATCAACGCCGAGAGCTTCATCTTTTTTACCACAGTAGGACTACAATCGTCGTAAGACCGCGTATTTGAGAGTGCATGAAAGGATGAAGCTTTTATAGCTGATCAAAGCCCTGAGGATTGCGCAATGCCTTGGGTTTCATTATTATTCGTAGATACGACTGAATGCAAATCCGGCCATCTGGCCTATATTGCGACACTGGCGGGAGTTCACCGATCTATCAAATCAGCTTCTTTAGCATTCCAAGCTGGAGTAGTACCAACTTTTCGACTTAGGGCTTGGGAGGGCTCCTTGATTGGCCATGGATAAAGGATTGAACAAATGAACCTATGTGTATTTCTGTGGGCCTAACATCAGTGCACTAAACGCGTTTCTGGAAGAGAATAGAACCAAAATACCACCGAAAACTGGAGATTTCATCCTGGTTAAATGAGAATTCACAAAATTGCAGGACGACTGTCGTCGTTGCTCGCTGACCACACGAGTTAAGATATTTCCAGATATTGTGTCTTTTCTCCAATGGTCCCGATGACAACACTGAACAGCGATCATTAGAGGGTTTCCCTTCATTGAAAAGGCAGCCATCGTCATTAAGCAAGTTGTGAAGCAGTCGTGAAACTGATCGCTACCTCCGATGACAGAAAGTCAGAGAGAGATTCTACTGTAAGAGCCACGACAGGTTTGCTCGATTTCCTTGATCAACAACATGACATATCCGATGGATCTGAGAGATCTGATGATGATGACCTACCACTCCATACGCTAGAATAGCCCTCTCCAAACTCTTCGCCAAATGCTGGTATTCGGCCTGTTAATAGGACGATTTATTAATTGGATGGGCTGAAACCTGTGTAATGATTCAGAATCCTTCGCACAATCTTATTGATAAAAGGAGCTCGTCATCCTAGCAAATACCGGCATCGGTTTCGCTTTCGAACACAGGAATGCCGCTTATTGGTCTGATCGATCCCAAAAAGAGACTTGACATGATCAATTTTTGCGCTATCACCCACAGTAGGCTAGGTGCTTGCTGAGCATTGCCGTCATTGCCTTCCCATTAACGGTGGAAACTCTTCGAATGATATGTTATTTCATGAACAGCAAACAACTATAGCGACTGGTACTACGTCTTCTAACCGCAGCTTTGGACAAGTCGAAATAGTTGTGATGTTGGTACTGATGATGTCATGTTCATCTCTAATGGCGTTTAGTTTCATGTCTCCGTAAAATATAGGAGCGCGAAAAGATTACATTACAGCTTAATCAAATTTTAACGGAAAACTTTAGCACGCTGTTAGCCAACGACAGATGCTTTTCGTAAATGCAATCAAAATTCCACACCAACGATAAGAACTACAACATATTTATCCCGGAAAGCTTTATTACATTCTATGATAATTCAAGGAAACGGTAGAGATATTTGGAAAGCTAAAAAGTCGTCAAGTTAGTTTGAGCTTCTTTGAGCAAACTCCCTAATCATTATTGGTTATCTATTGTGAAACTAAGAAAGTTACACGGACATTATCCATACCGACATACATTGAAACAGTTTTGTTCAGACTGAAGATGGTATACTCTCTTATTCACGATACAATTACTTCGTAGAAGTCTATTAGCAAGAAGCAAATCTTGAAGGCAACGCTCAGTATAAATAGAAGCTGTGGTGTAGTGACACGAATGAATGGGTGAGGTAAGTGGGAGGGATGCGCCATAACGGAAGCCTCATACTCATATTCCTACTTGTTGTAGGATTTCCCACACGTTCAACCACAAACTGCTATACTTTGAAACTCGGAGAATAACTCTTTGTTTTTCGGTCAATATTCCTAAGAACAAAAAAGAGTCACTGAAGAGCAGCAATTACCTAGACCATCAAAGTAAGCGTTCCTTCATCTGAATGAAAGGCCGTGAGCAGTTCCTTTCCAAATAAAATCTCTAACGTTGTTAAAAATCTCATGCACCTCAATTTCAGCTATCGCAAAGCGATTATAAGGAATGTTATGATCACACAACATCTGAGGACTTGCCATTTAGATTTATGTGGGTAATCTTGAGTAAAACCCTTAAAACTTAGTGTATTTGTTTTCGTTATAGATTCTCCACCTATTTAGTCCCATTAGCGTCTTCTAACATTGTCATTATTGGCCGCATTCAAAGAACCTGCGGTGGCTGGATTTCCTGGAGTCGGTGGGCGGGGCGAGTTGCCCGGGTGTGAAGCTTAGCGCTTAGCGACGAGGACGAGCACAT